GAAACTGATCACAAGGACTAATGTCTGCCCCAAGGCAACCAGAGATGCAGTCTGAGTTATCCATCATCATTGGCTCATTAAGTCTGAAGTGCAGGACAACATTGCTATCTCTTGCTCCTGTGAAAGTCTGACCCACCTCCAGTTACACAAAAGCTGTGCTTTGCTGCGGGGTCACAGGACATGCAACTCACTGTCCTTCTGACACAGTTCAGGGAAAACGGAGACCGTTGGCCGCCAGCCATAATTATTTACAGATTCACAATTTACAACTGTGACTGAATGGGGTACCAAAAGCAAGAGAAATCAGCCTGCAAACAAATAAGAAGTCAAAAGAAATGCCTCCTCCACTCATCCACGGAAGTAGTAGCTCATGCAATTCACAGGCTATTCATTCACAACTGGATTCCGACAGCACAGACACGCCAGGGATCGTAAAGCAGTGCTCAGTTTCATTACACCAGCTTTGCTTCGATCTAATGCTAAAGTAAATTGTAAACGCCGAGTTTGCATAAATGGAGTGGCATTTCTGCTCTGGAGAAAATCCTTGCAGGAGGCTTTGATTCCAATGTTAAAAATATACATGTCCACATACAAACATACTTCTCTCAGCAATCTCTTCAGCAAGACAGTGCTTGAAAGACTGACTTCATTTTTCTAGATAAGAGAGATGTTTACAGTGGCAGAATTACACCGAATAAGAGAGTCAGTCAATAAAAAGAGCAACAGATGGTTTGGCAGATATTAGCATACATTATGCATGCTATTGATATAGGCGATGCTCTTCGGGGCTGCCTAGCCAACACAGGTGAGAAAGCACGGTAAGTGAAGTAAATATTAAGAGAAAAGGTATTCTGCCTCCTGCAACATGATAAAAGTTACACCAACAGCTGGCGGGGGATTTTAGATTTCAAATGTCTGCTCGGATCTAGTTCATTCCCAGTCTAATTTTTAAAGAGGCTTTCAAAATACAAGTCAGTTTGGGCACTTCTCATTCTGAAGGAGAGCTCCTCTGGTCTGACACTGCGTAGCAGATTTCATTACATGTAACTGATCGTTCTGAACACAAGTCTGCACTAGCGTATCTAAAGGGAAGCCCTCTCTGCCTTTTAACAATCTTCTCTTTCGAGAAAGCCCCTAGCGCTTTAGAGACAAGAACAGCTTCTTTGTGCATTTCTATTATCGCCTTGCTCACGAGGCCTCCACCGCCAGGAGCACCTTGCTGTGTGAGGAGTTGTATATAAGCCTAGAAATCAAGTCCTCATCTACAAGGGTTCACCATCTGGGGCCCCCAGCTTGCCACGGTTCCGCAAGTGCCACTGACATGAAATCCGCTCGCGGCGGCGAAGGGAAGCACGGGCGTAAGCATTCACAGGATTGGTGCCCAAACAGACTTCGGCTATTAAAAGCAGTCTCCAGGAAGTCACCCATGCCAAATGATTCACAGACCAGGCATCTAAAAGTTAATATCATTTGGAGGGTCTGTAACAGAACGCACCTTCTTTGATTTATTCAAATGCTCTTCACAATCCATGGCAAATTAATTCCATGCACATTCCACACAGCGTTATGTAGTGACATGCTTAAGCATTTCAAAAGGACACCAATTTTTTTCCATTCTGACAGACTATTCAGCCAAGAAAACAATTCTGCACAGGCAAAGGCGGCAGGCTCCCGGGCTAGGGTCCGATTCACAAACCCACTGCTCACCATCTGTTACCTACATCTTTAGGCTCCCCTGTCCCCACCTTAGCTCTCTCAAATCATCGATTGTACCAATAAATGCAATGACATGCATGTTTTCCTCATCTCCCAGGGGAAAACCATTCCTGGCCCTACCGGAGCCCAGTACAAAAACATCAAGCTCCAAAATCTGATCAGCACCTTTCAGTACCAGTGCCAAAGCCGAACAAGAGCAAACTAAAGCGGAAGCAGGTAACTTAAGATGCGACGGCCTGTCTGGTTCAGCCGGAGCCTGCTGCATGAACAAGCTCCGGAGGGTTACATTCCAAAGGCATTCCTCCTCAGTCGCTCGCATGCTAACCCAGCCTGGACTTTCAAAGGAAGCGCGGCTAGGAGTCCATTCCATGCAGAGCAAATCACTTGTCTGATCTATATTTACCTCAAACTGCAATGTCAATTGGAAGCATCACCAGGAAGCACTGGAATAAACCTTTATCCCCCTGGAGCCCTTTGAGACACAGACGTAAACAATGCACCTAGAGGCACTCAGGTGGCTTTGCTTCTATGACCAATAAGGCAATTCTCAGCCCTCGAGGCGTGTACTTGCAGGACCAGAAGTTAATCCGAAGTGTGCAGACCCTTACAGATGCCTGCAGCTCACCCAACGTCACTGACTCCTG